TATTTCATTTTTCTGACAAGATGATTTCTGTTCATAATCTCATTTCTCAGTTCAGCCTTCTCACCTTTCCAAGTCCAGTACTGTCCTCAGATTGAGAGCATAAACTTTTGTGATGTACCTGTCACAATGTATGGCACACCAAGGGATAGCACAGGAGCCCACAAAGTCTGACTTCAGGAGTAAGAGTCCACATTTGATGAAGATTCAGATACATCCACTACAGTGGAGTAAATGACTCAATTTCCATTTACATCACCACAGTGACATGGCATATAAACCACAACGAGTAAGAATGAGTTTCTGTTAATGCTTGCTTTAAAAAATGAAGAATCATAGAACGGTTTGGATTAGAAGAGACCTTTAAGACCATCTCATTCCAACCCCCCTGCTATAGGCAGGGACACCCCCCAGTAGATGAGGTTGCTGAAAACCCCGTCCTGCCTGGCCTTGAATGCCTCCAGGAAAGGGGCATCCATAACCTCTCTGGGCAACCTGTTCCAGCGTCTCTCCACCCTCACAATTAAGAATTTTTTCCTAATATCTAGTTTAAATGTACTCTCAGTTTAAAATCATTTCCCCTTGTTCTGTCGCTACATGCCCATCTAAAACATATCTCCTCAGCTTTCCTGTAGGCCCCCATCAGGTACTGGAAGTCTGCTGTAAGGTCCCTCAGAACTTTCTCTTCTGCAGACTGAAAAGCCCCAGCTCTCTTGGCCTGTCCTGATGGGGTAGGTGCTCAAGCCCTCAAGAAGAAGAAGAAGAAAAGATGCAGACTGTAATAATTTGTTTTAATTTAAAAAGATAATGACTGCAGTACTTCTAGACCTTCTATTTAGATTTCTAGACTTCTATTTAAAACCAACAAACAAGACACATGAAACCGAGAGCGTAAGTGTATGATATCCTCACCTAATGTCTCTGTTTTGGGCATAAGATTTGAAGACCGTGTCTCCCTTATTTCGTGTTCTCACAGCAGGGTCATGCATTGTCTCCCTGTGACAGTAGCACCGCAGTGCAACAGTTGTGAAACGGGCTTTGTGCACGTTGTGTTTACATGTATACGTCACAGGCAAGGAGGCATCGCGTCACACCCAGTCTTGATGACGCTCCTTGGTTCGTTCTGCTCTATTTTCAGCCTGTTGCCGGGCAGATTTGCACAGGCCTCCTGGTGGTGACTCAGCTACACGCTTGCAGATTGGTTGATGCAAAGCGACTATTTTGCAGCCAATCCTGAGCGGATATGCAAATTTTCTGCTGTCAGCTGTCATCAGCCTGAGGAAGGCAAGGCTCGGCTCCTTACCCAGCTGGTGCAGAGCAGAGCCGCTGCGGGGGTTCCATTCTGGGTGCTTCCGGCATTGAAAGGACAGCCCATCGTGCCATGTGAAAATGACTAAGCAGCCTTCCAGCTCCCCCAGATGGAAAACATTATGGAAAGTCCTTACCACGTTTTAATTAGCTGAAATTATGGGAACTGGATCCTTCACATCTTGAAGACTTCTTTCCCTCAGTAAGATGTGATGAGTTTGAGAGTTCAGCAGTGACTTCTGTTTGTAGAACAGAAGTAGAAGAGCCCTTCTAGAAGCCCTTGTAGAAGCTGTGGTTTAAATAAGTCCAATAAGAAAAAAAAAAAACAACAACAACAACAACAAAAAACCCACTCTTGAGAAACTATGTCTTCCCTAGAGTCATACTGATAATACTTTTTAATAAGCAGCGAGTTCCCACAAAGGACTGACCAGCTGGTGTTTTAGGTGTATTTTATAATATTGTTCTTTGCCACTGAGAAAATAGTCTTTGCAAAGAACTTCTAAATAATATTTGTATGTATGGAAAGCATTTAGTGCCTTTTAAAATCAGCATCACTTTTTTTTGTTGCTAATTCCCCTGTAGCATTTGGTTAATGACCTTTGATGTCACTTAAGAGTGGTGCCCTGATTTCAGAGGATGAGACTGATGCTAGGTTGCAAACGTTTGAAAGTCAGGTGCATCATGTAGTTGCACATCCTTAGTCGGTCAAGTTATCACTTGAAAATTCACCTCTGAAAGGACAAAAGACTGGATTAGATTGGATTTTATAATGTATATAAAAACTTAAATGTAAATTGAACATTTTGCATTACTTTTATAATTTTTCTATTTTCCTTTTTCTTCAGCCTACATGTATATGAATAATTCAGATTCTTCAGGATTTCCTTTTGCACTATCAGAAGTTGTGTAGACTTTACATTATAAATGCCTTGTTGCAGTTAGGGTCACTTCTGTGGAATTACTAGTTCTGTCTCGTATTTAGAATGTTGTAATTGTTAGTTCATGCTGAAGATAACTGCGGTGTAGAGCCAGGAGTTGGATTTGATGATCCTTGTGAGTCCCTTTCAGCTCAGGATGTTCTCTGATTCTGTGATATATAATCAAACATTTCACAAATGTATCTGAAAATGCACAAATTAAACTTTGTATAAAATTTGAGTTCATTTTTAGAGAAAGAAACATACTTAGTGCTTTATCTTGTGCTAAAAATCAACTCTCTTGAGAATGTTGAATTTTGATGTTAGAGAAATTGGAACAGCTGTTCTTCTTTTGCATATGAAGTTCACACAGCTGAATTGAAAGCCGATGTTTTGAGTTGTTGATAAAAGTTGAAATCTGCAACACCTTAGTAAGAAGACAGATAGCAACTACCATTGTTGCTCTGGCTGAGTACTCAAGCAGTTTTACTCTAAGAGAGTAATGATCGAAGTGACTCTTGTAAATAGTGAAGACAGCCAAGTCTGTTTGCTTCTTGTAGAACAAGGTTCAGAGCTTAAATTTAACGTCTTTTAAAGACTGGTGATTCTGTCATAGCGAAGTGATTTGTATGAGGCTAACTGGAATATTTAACTAAAGTACCGTCTAAAAATATTCTCGTTTTTCTTTTCTTCCGTTATCTAAAGTATCTGCTTTTTGTGTAATAACCATAAACTAATGAATAACATAAGGACAATTCTGAAAAATCATTTGCAATTAGATGTGTGACTTAAGAGGGAGTTGCTCCCATGCCCAGTGGGAAAAGGGCTCTAAAAATTACTCTGTTAGGATGAGAAATGGGTTTATGAGCCAGTCAGAGGTGATGTCAACCTCTTGGATATAAAGAATGGCGTAGGACAATTTTGTCTTCGTTATGGTACCAAAGTGATAATAATGTAATTCAAGTTTGTATATGAAGCTGTCAATTTTTAAGCCCACACAAGACCACTCAGCTTGTCTGAAATGATACTATAGAAGGCCAAAAGTATCCTGTGTTGCATCAAGAGAAGTGTGACTAGCAAGTCAAGGGAGGTGATTCTGCCCCTCTGCTCTTGTGAGACCCTACTTGGAGTACTGTGTCCAGTTCTGGAACCCCCAATACAAGAAGGACATCAAACTGTGGGAGTCCAGAGGAGAGCCACGAACATGCTCAGAGGGCTGGGGCACTTCAGCCTGGAGAATGCTCCAAGGAGACCTTATAATGGCCTTCCAGTACCTGAAGGGGTCCTACAGGAAAGCTGGGGATGGACTTTTTAGAAGGGCATGTAACAAAAGGATGAAAGGAAGTGGTTTTAAACTGGAAGAGGTTAGATGTAAACTAGGAAGAAATTATTTTGAGGGTAGTGAGACACTGGAACAGTGTCCAGAGAGTTGCCCTGAGAAGTTGTGAATGTCCCTTCCCAATAAATATTCAAGGCTAGGCTGGGAGAGGCTTTGGGCATCCTGGTCTAGAGGGAAGTGCTGCTGCCTATAGCAGTGAGGTTGGAACTACATGATGTTAAAGGTCCTTTCCAACTCAAACCATTCTATGATTCTATGATTTACTCTGGTTTATTAGACCCATAGCCTTGTTTGGGTATTTGTCTGATAAGCATAGATCAATATGAACGTCACGTTTTACTGAGCTGGTTCTTCAAAGGGCAGTGTGCAAGTGCAGTCCCCAGTGCTTCCAAGGCAGAGGTCACATTAGTCATCAGGAAGAACTCCATTTTGATGCTCCTACTGGAATGCTAGAGGAGCGCGAGCACTGCCCAGTAACAGAGGAGAGGTTAAAAAGTGCTATGCTTAAGCCCACATGGGCTCACAGCAGTTTTATGATCCAACACTTGGATCAGAAACTCAGCTGGCTTGTCTGAAAAAATGGACGTTGCCTAGTGTGTAGTAGGTCAATAAGCACATGCTCAGGAGAGGCACTGCTTATTTGTTTTAGGTTTGTACAGGCCTGGGTGCTCTGTGGTTTCCCACCTCATGCACTTAAAGAGCCCTTATGCATTAAAAATACCTTCTGACTACACTCAAGGGCTAACAGTGTCGTAAACTCCAGCTCTTAAGTAGAAACTCCCTAACTTCCCTTCACCCTCCACACCTGGCAAAGCGTTTCCTATCCTGGAGTTCTCGCGCGTGGCCTCACGGGCTTTTGTTGCTGGGTAGAATGTGAATAGCCGCTGTCTGATTGGCTGCTCCATCCAGCCAATCAGAGGCTGGTGCTCGGTCCCCGGGCTGGGCCGACGCTGCCGCCTGGCTTCTTGCGCGGGAGGTGAGGGCGGCTGCGCGCGCGTCTCCCTCTGCGGTGCGCTGGAAAAACTACAGTTGCTGCTGTGGGAAGCGCTGCGCGGTGTCGAAACGACCACTGATAGTCCCCTCTCTAAGTACGGCTAGAAATAAGCTAGAGCCTTAATTAAAGTGAAACTCGGCTTGCTGTTTGTAGACTAGGTGAAATAGGACACGGGGTGATGTCATTTCTCTCAGAAAATGGCACGTTTTTCTTTAGCTCTGTTCAGCCAACACTCATGCTAGCCTAAAAGGCACAAAAATTCATTACCTGTGGTGAGAAAGAAAAAATACTGCTTTCACTTACTGTATGTCCTCAGCTGTGTTTATTGTGTCTTTTATATGTTGAGGTACAGCTTTTTATGGATCGTGTCGTACTGTGCCTACAGTGTGATAAGCAGACAAGCGTTAGCGGCATCAAAAGATACCACTGATGTTCTATTTCAGCACGTGTTCTGGAAAAATACCAGTTTATTTTTTCTTCTTTGAAAATGGTTCATGACAACTTGCGTTCATTTATGTTGCTAGAGATGATTTCAACTGAAAACTGCTTCTTATGAGCTGCTGTTTAAGAGGTAGGTTTTGTGCATTGCTTTGATTCTCGGGGACTCTTCCATCTAGAACAATGTAGTCCTGATCATGAGCTGTCTCCATTTCACTAATTTTCTGTGCTACATTTTAAGTAGACTTGCATATTAAGACACTGGTTTTCCTGATAAAAGGCTTTTCACTGCCTTTTTATATTTTTTGTGTTTTTGCAAATGTTTATGGTTGCAGTGTTTTTGGCCAGTACAGCTTAAAGTAGGAATCTTGTGCAAATGCTGTTCTAGACTGATGATCTTATGCAAAGCCCATTGAGCAGGACTTCAGCTTTCTTCCCCACAGTGTGTTTCCATGACCTTCTCTTTGTCCGCTGCCTGTTGCCAGGCAGGATTCAGGCAGCTGCTTGCTGATTGGCTGATATTGAGCATATCCTGTGCTGCTCCTATGAGCACTCGATTGTAGGCTGGTCCATTGCAGCTAAGATAATTCCTTTTTTGTTGTAGAGCTGCAATATCTTTGCAGACTAATAATAATAAGATATATATCGGAGGAAGTGGGGGGAAGGCTTTCTGGTTGGCTGGAAGAGAAGCCCTTTGTATGTTAACTACACTGGCACATTTTGATTTTACTGTGTATTGCATATTTGGTAATGGGAAATATTTGCAGGTTTGTTATTTGAAGGAGGTGCCTGATGATATGTTTTCTTGTAATCCTGAAGTACATATGACTTTCAAGATTAAAGTGAAGAATTCTTACAGAACAAATATTTGTGGTATTTTGTGTTTCAAAATTGATCATTTTTTTGGTGAACTTTATTCAAAAACAAAAACAAACATGCAAATTCTACCAATCTATTTACAGAATTTAACCCTGACACGCTTAGCTCTACATGCAGGACTCATTGTGTACTGCACTAAACAAATGCCTTTTCTTGAAATAAAAGGTACCTTGTCATTGGTTTGTGTCCCTCATGACCAAGTAACAAATGTGATGAGTAAAAACTGAAATTACCCAAATATTATATAAGAGAAGCGTATAGGAAATATAGCTAAACTTTAAATTGTTGAGTTTAAAATTAAATGCATTCATTTTTTAAGCGGTGAGAGTTTGAAGTATATTTGTGCAAGTCTGAATTCATACAACCTCCTCTGAAAGGCAACCACTTTACCACTTCGAATGGAAGGCAAGTATTTATAAGGTGATTGCTTATTGGCTTGCACGTATACAACCAAACCTGTCTGAACTGGTTACTGATTTATTTGTATCTTATTTTATTCAGCTCTCACATGAGATCTGTTATTTGGCTGCAGTGTGCTCCCTTGTGGGTACGGCTGGAAGCATTTTAAGTCTGGTCTGCAGTGATACGTGATACTTAACCAGCATTTAGTTTTTATCTTTTAATCTCACCTATGTTCATATTCTGTAGCTTTTTTGGGGCATTCTTTGGTTGCGAAAGATTGTGAGATTGAGCTGAAAATATACATGAGTTACTCAAATAACTGTCTGACAATTGAATTTTGTAATTCCGTTTTTTTTTTCTACAGTGAATTTGTAAATTGTATTACAGCTTTGTCTTTTTTTTAAATTTAGCTGTAAATAAAACACCTTTTTTTTTTTTTAATGTATTAGAAATTTAAGCTTATTACCTTGGTATTTTTATTCTAACAGAAAAGATGCATCGATGTAAAAAGGTATTGTGATGTTTGAATTTAAACTGTTACTTTTGGCAAATTTGAAAAGGAAATGTAATTCATTATACTTTATGTTATATATATGAATGAAAGATAGTTTAGATAATTAAGGAAACTATAGAGAATAGAAATACTATTTTGCTTTAAGTTATATTTTATGATTATACAAATGATGTATTTATGAATTTGATTTTAAGTTTTGAGTGAGAATTTTTATTAATCTGTTAAAATACCTTTTGATCACAGTAAGATTGTAAATTCTGTGATGTGTGAAGTTTCAAAGACATGAGATCCGTGTAGTGCTCATAAAATAAAGTATTGTATTTGGGGAAATCACGTACTTTTCTCTCTTAATTTTGAGTGTGAGGCCCTATATCTTTGTAATAGATTAGCAGAAGGCTTACTAGTCAGTTCACTTATCGTGAGTCCGAAGAAATGTTCAAGGTTAGCCAAGCCTGGGCATTCTTCTCCCCCCTGAGTTAGCTCTATGTATCTGTAACAGCATGCATCATAGAACCGTGAGTATGATGATCAGTGCTGTATTATGTGGCAGCCTGATGCATGCTTTTAAAGTGATATGAAAAAAAAAAAACCAAACTTCCTTGTCATGTTCTCAAGAAGGAAGGACATATACTTTCAAAAATTTCATGCTTCTGAAATACATGCTTCTGAAGCATGCATGCATCTGGAAGAGGCTTTTCTACGCTTGTCCTCACTTTGAAACTGTGCTAAATTACTACTTTACTTGTATTCTCTTCTTGAGGAATATGAAGATATTGTATTAGTGTGTAGGCAGCCTTGAAAAGCTCCTAACAACTTACCTTGAGGTTTTTTTTGGTGTGGTAGGAAGTGGTTATGGGATGAGAGCGTTTTCTAAGAATGAGTAAATGGAGTTTTCAAATCAGTGTTGCATTTTGCTCCCACTAGTGGCAATAAAAGTAATAGGCAGTCATGTTCAGGAACTTTTTCAGACGTGCAGAAATGCATATTTTCAAGGTATAGTTGTGATTCTGTAAGCAGCTGATAAATTCTTTGAAGGCCTGTTTGATTTGTTGAGAAGGTGTGAATGGATCTGTTATTTAAGCACTATCAGTTATACAAATACAAGAATTCTGGATTGTCAAGAAAAAAAAAAATTGAAATAATATGATAGGAGATCTCAATGCTTACAAGAAATGGAAAACAAAGAGGAAAAAATGCAACTTATATCTCTTATCATTTTGCCTGTGCTTTTTGACAAGTTATGGTAACTGAGGGTGATAGAAGCCCTTGCTCGTATAGTACAATACGTTGTGGTTGTAAAGTCTAGAGTTTTATCTTGACAGTTGAACTTTTACCTTAGACTGTATATTCATCTTACATCTTAAAATATCCTAATATAACAACATAGAAATACTAAATAATTTCCTTCATTAAAAAAAAAAAACAAAAACACGCTGCCTGGGGTAAATAGGGAAGTATCTGATGGAGGAGTACTGAAAAGATAGAAATAGAAGCCCAAACTACCTATGAGAACACACAGAGGTTGACAACTCTAATCTACTGAAGAGAAGGCTGAAGGCCAGTCATACAGCTATTGAATAGTTGTAGACAAGCCTGCTTATAAAGAGAGCGGATCCAAACTGTTCCTGTAGTGCTGTAGAATGGTACCATGGTGCGGTGGCTAAGAGTTATATACAGCATGGGAGGTTCAGGCTGGAAAAAAATTCCCAAGAGGGATTAGTGCAACACTTGAGCAGGTTACTTTTCAGCCGTTACTCCTTGTGCTATCACTACTCACCACTGAGAAGAGCCTGATCTCATCCATTTGCCTCTCGCCTCCCTTTAGATGTTTATAAACATTGATCATTAACCAATCTTCCCCAGGCTAAGCAGACCCAGTCACTCAGTCTTTTCTCATATGGGAGATGCTTCAGGCCCTTTATCATCTTTGTGCCCCTCCACTGGACTCCTTCTAGGAGATGCCTGTCTTTTTAGAACCGGGGCACCCGGAAGTGGACACAGTAGTCTAAATGTGACCTCACCAGGGCAAAGTGCAAGAGGAGGATCACCTCTCTCAACCTTCTGGCTGCACTCTTGTTAATGTACTCCCAGGATACCATTGGCCTTCTTGGATGCAAGAGCACAGTACTGTCTTATGGCCAACAAGATTAATCAGTTAATGCTAAAGCAATATATAATCTGTTAGGACTATCAAGCTACGGCAGGGGAGATTCAGGCTGGACATGAGGAAGTATTACTTTTCAGAAAGGGTGGTCAGGCACTGGAACGGACTGCCCAGGGAGGTGGTGGAGTCACCGTCCCTAGGGGTGTTCAAGGAAAGACTGGATGTTGTGTTGAGGGACATGGTTTAGTGGGAGCTATTGGGAATAGGTGAACGGTTGGACTGGGTGATCTTTTAGGTCTTTTCCAACCTTGGTGATTCTATGATTCTATGATCTCTGCTGATGCAGCTTAATCTGACCCAAACGCATAAGCACTTGATTCTCAGAGGTGAAGTGGTTGACTAGATGATCTTGAGAGGTCCTTTATAAAAAAAATTATATTTTATTTCATTACAAATTCTTTCAATATATTGAAATTTTCTTAGTTATCTGATATAATTATTTTTGTCATTTATTCCAGTTAGACTGATTTTGTTTCCAAGTTTGTCTGAAACTTCTGACATTACGTAGATTTAGAAAGGTAAAATAATTATCAACTGATAGAGCAAGGCAGTGTATGTTTGAAAGAAGAGCGTGCTTGCTTTTACATTGGCTCAGTACCCATTCTAGCTAGAAACGTAATCGTATCCCTGCTGTAATGATACTGAGTTGATTAGTCTGTGTTACTACATGTCATTAAAGTAGTTATGTCATCTCAGTGAGTTTTACATGCTTGTATTTGTTTAACATACGTAGAAATCTGCACTTGCTTTTCATGAGGAGAAACAAAATTTGATCGTTTGGTCAGTTGTTTTGGATTTTGTAGATAGTTATACCAGTTTGCTGTAAAATATGCAAAAAAGTAAATTTCAGCTATAGTCTTTTCTTTAAAACTCCTGCAATAATAATAATAATAATGAAATAATAATGGCCTTCACAAGTCTTATGGAACTTTTTTTTTTTTAAGGGTCAAGATGGATAGCACAGATGAACCTCAGAAAAAAGTCTTCAAAGCACGAAAAACGATGAGAGCAAGTGATCGTCAACAACTTGAGGCTGTCTATAAGGCTAAGGAAGACCTGTTGAAGACAGTTGAAGTTAAACTGTTAAATGGAAAGTACGAGAACGGCGATTCTGATTTAAATTCTCCTTTAAGCAATACAGACTGTACGGAGGACAAGAGGGAAGTTAATGGCCTAGTGGATTCTAATGAAGTTAGTGAAATCAAAAGACCTGAAAGTAGGGCAGAAATTATAGTCAGTGACCTAGAACCTAAACCTCTCTCTCCAGAGAATATTACTCGTGAACAAGATATTGATATTGCATTAGTTTGTGAGGCTGAAAACAGAGTGCTTGGTAGCAATAAAGTTAACTTCCATGAAGAAAATAACATAAAAGATCATTTGGACCAAAGAGAGAGTGACACTTCATCAGAAGGTGACAGTAAATCAAACTGTGATAATAGCTCCTCATCTGAAGAGAAAGGAAAAACAAATGACTTAACTATTATTTCTAGTTCACCTGTTGAAGACAAGAAGAAGGCTGGAGAAGTAATTGTTGAAGATTCTGTTGGGGAAGAGGCTATCTCTAGCAGTATGGAAACTGATCAGGAAGCGAAAAATCACGGAGATGGCACTGCAGGTCTTTCAGAAACCGTAGCTGAGAAGGCAGTAGATGAGTCAACTGAAAGTATCGTGGAGAATACTGACTCTATGGAAGCAGATGAAATTATTCCAATTTTGGAAAAACTAGCTCCTGCTGAAGAGGAGATGAGCTGTTTTTCTAAAAGTTCTTTGCTGCCAGTGGATGACACAGCCCCAGATTTAGAAGAGAAGATGGACAACTGTTTGGGTTCTCCACTGAAGCAGGAAAGCAATGAAAGTCTGCCAAAAGAGGCTTTCTTAGTGCTGTCTGATGAAGAGGATCCTTGCGATGAGAGGGAGCATGCTGAAGTGGTACTACCAAACAAGTCAGGTCTTCCAGGTAGGAGTTTTTTTAAATTGGTAGCTTTGATTCATCTGGAATTTTGTTCATTTCTTAAAATGACATATGTTTGATGTGTTTCTAAGTCAGTGTTTAAGAACTTCACACTTTTGGGTATATACCTGGAGAAGTAACGAATTCTAGGAGCATGTGAAAATCGTATCAGTGTCTTTGTAATTGAAGGTGATAAACCATACTTAGTGAAGTAATGAGCTTTTAAATTTTTACCAGTATTCTTCAGCATTGCTGGTGTGAGCATTTGTTCTCGCATCAGTATTGTGAGCAGCAAATGAAGAACTTGAAAGGCATTAAAATGATACTTTATCATAGAGAAACTCCTAAAAGCAAGAAAGAGAGAAGGTCTAGCCAACACCTAACCAAAGACCAGTATCAATTTTTGCCACGTTTATGGTATTTTTCTTCCCTGTTGCCGTTTCTAAAAAGAAAGAAAAAGAAGTGTTTAAGTTGGGTTATTGTCACACACAAGCATTCAATAAATCAAACAGTATTCCAGTTCATACCTTTTTCTCTCTCTTGTTTTTTGCATAACTATTTTTGTTAAAGGACTCTATTTTGGCAGTATATATTCCTGTAGTGATTTTATGTCAGGCATATTCTGAACGTAGGAAACTTTCAAACTCTGCATCCAGACTTTAAATATATCAATCACATATACCATATCTACAGCTAAAAGCAGCATTTTTATACCATAATATCATTCTTATTCTTTCTGGAACTCGCATTCTCAAGTAATTGCAGGAAAAAGTAGAACCTATACACCAGGTTTTTGTTGTTTGCATGCTCATAAGCATGTTCAGAGGCCTAACAAAAGACAGTCTTACCCACTACTTTTATGTAGTCTTGCAATTTGAGGGATGGAATTTGTGGCTGAGAAAGACTGAAATTAGCAGCAAAAATTATCACAGTCCCCCCATCACTCTTCATAAATGGGTGGGAGGGGTGGAAGAATATAAAAGGGAGTAATTGGCAGGTGTGGTACAGGACTTACTGGAAAAGAAATGTACTAACTTATTGTTCCTAAGGAGAAGAAGGTATTTCAACTTTCTTTAACATGCTCATAAATTTTAAGGATGAAAACATGCTAGTAATACAGACATAGCATAACCCCCATTTGTTTCAAATTTCTTTCACCAAATAATGATACTACTAGAGAGGTTTCAGAAAAAAACAAATCACGTAGATTATTTTCATGCCATTTAACTTTAACTCATAGTGGTTTTATCCAGCTTCTGTCTGGTGACTGTGGCAACTGGTTGACATTCAAAAGCATTAAGTGTATGAAACTGGTACTTCAGCCTTTCCATGCAGTTAGCAGAACCAGCAGATAAATTCTTGATGTTAAACTGATGTTTCTGCTCTCTTGTTGCTGTCACACTGTTTTGTATGTGTAAGTATTTTGGGGGCATGGGGCACTCTGTCTTACTGTCTCACTTCTGACAAAATAAAACCAATAAATAATTTATGGCTATATTGTTGTTGCCCTCTATCGGTAGTTAAAGAAAGCTATGGCTTCAAGCTGCACCACTGTTAGCATTTTATGAATCAATTACTGCACTAAGTCAAATCTATTCGTTCATGCTTGACTGAGTAGGATTTCAAGAGATTTATCAAGATCAAGCTGTCTTTGTTTATGGGAAGTTAACACCCAGTTTCTTACCTCTGTTTTGCTGATGATGAGACTGTCTTTCACTAATTTGTAATAGCAGTTTGGGTCTTGAATAAATAACTGGAGACAGGGAGATGAGAATGTCTTTCTATCCATGTTTCAGACTTTTCTTCTTTTCTGGTGCTAACCTTTAGGTTTATGCCATTTAAAACAAGAACTAATGGGTTGCATAGTCTTCTTAGAGAATTTTATTTGGGTATTAAAATCCACGTTTCTCTGGAGTTGCAAAAGTGATATCAGTGTTTAAGTAAGATCTTCCAGAAGATGTTTGTGGGTGGGATATGGTGAATAGAAAAAAATACTGTATGTACTTATGTAGAAGTTGTAGTGCATTATGAATCCCTTCTCTAAAAAATTACAAATAAATCAGTGATTGTTGGTCTTATCACAATTTAAGGCTTCTCTCATTGGATATGAATGAAGTTAGGATAACAAGGTGGCTTTTTTTTTTTCTTCTCAATCAAAAAGAAGCACACTGGTCACAGAGAAGTCTCAACTCTGAAGCAAAAGGCTATAAGTGAATACTGAATATTGGACTACTATTTGCAGAAGTCTGCAAAATGATACAAACGATTGTATCCAGCAATATTTTTTCTGTTCTGGACAAGGATAATTTCTTGACTAGTAATTTTTCTTTTTTTTTCTGTCAACTGTAACAGTTGGAGACTTTTATAGTTGCATGAATGTAATTGCAACTGTTTCTAAAAGGAATACTGGCCAGTGAAATGTATTTTGTCGATAGTGGAAACATGTTAATTTCTGCATGCTAGCTTCTTAAATTTTCCCATTAAGTTGCCAAGGAGGGAGCTCAAATTTTTCCAAATAATAGATTCTACATGAAATATATTGAGGAAATCTTCTGGGGTCCCATTTTGTGCTAAATGTAACAGGATTTTAACACAGAAATTCAGCAGTCCTTTTACGAATTTATGTTTCAGTAACAAATATCAGAGAGGCTGTCAGGACCAGAAACAATATTGTATGGGAAACCAGGTGGATAAATGCCTTGTAATATGGTTAACAACTTTCAGAAGGGGTCTGTTAAAATTATATCTGTGGAGATGGCATAGAAATTATTTAAGAATACCGTCTTGGAAGTATGTGGAAGCTGTTCAGTTAAACAGTAAAGCTTTGACAGGATGCAGAGGAAAACTAGTGTGACTAAGCAGTAATGTAAAGAATGGTTTTCCTTAAATGGAAAGGTAAGTAGCTTTTGTTTTTCAAGTAGAATTAGTATATATAGTAGTTGAGTGATGCTTAAGATTTCTATAATGGGAGGTCATACCTTCAAAAACCTTGGCAATGAAGATGTGATTGAAGTATATGAACTATTTCTGATACCCAAACACAGTGACATCTTGCCAAGAATGTACAAAAACTGAATGGTTTGGGGACAGGATGGTAAGTACTCATGGAGGAAATAATCTGTTGAAGGACGGAAAGTAAATCCACTGAGATCTGTTCTCAAGACTGCCTTGAGCAACAGATTGAAAATGAAAGGTCACTACTGAGGTGACAGTTTGCTGATGATATTATGAAAAGCTGCAGAAGAATTTTGCAAGAATCTCACTGAGGTTAACTACCAAGTGATATGTGAGTACAAAAGCGTTCATAACTTGACAGAAAGAGCTATCCACTCAAGAATGATTGTCCAGGATTATATTAGGTAGTTTTATGAAGTCATTGATTTAGTAGAAGTAAATGAAAGTAAATGAAGAACGCTGAGAATAAATGAAATAGAGGAAAACACCGAGCTTTAATATTTTTTTGACTGGGCAGTGTTCTCTTACTGCAATTCTTTTACATTGGAGCTTTATTAGAAGGTCCTTGCTGACCCATGCTAGTGTTCTTCCACACTGATTCTGTGTTCAGTATGATAAAATGGACTATTTGCATGGTTTGAGTTGGCTGCTCTTGAAGAACAACTAGCTCTCTGGAGCCCCTTTTCTCTCCAGGGCAGTCTCCCACTGGATACAACGAAGTACAGTCTGAACAAGGTAGGAACTGCTCTTCTAAAGGCATAGGTTAGACTGTTATTTCTTGTGACTTCTTGCAAGATAATGAACTCCACAATCACATGGTTCTTGCAGCTGAATTTACTATTGACTTTGCCGCCCTCGACCAGTTCTTCCTTGTTTGTGAATAACAAACCTACCAGAGCATCTCCCCTACTTGTCTCAGTAATTGCCTATGTCGGTAGATTGCCTTCAGTGCACTCTAGAAACCACCTGGATTGTGCTCAGACTTACAGCCCTTCCAGTTAAAAGTACATCTGTGAGTCCCCAGGCCTGGTATTATGTGAGATAGCACCATTGACTTGTTCTTCTTGAACAAGTAGTTCTCCTTGAAGTAGTTTGTGATGAGAGGCTACCACAATCCTGCATGCATTACTTTGCCATTTGTGGTCCTGAAATGCCCAGCTGTCCTATTGCCTGGCCCCACAGTGAAATTCTGAGCATTTCCTGCATAAAGCATTACCACTGCTAAGCCTTTACAGCATGTCCTTCATGAAGAACTTGTGTTCATCTGCTCTAACACTGCACTCAGTTGTTATCCCACTATGTCTCCAATTCAGTGAAATCGTGATTCTGCGGCTCTGTAGAGGACTAGTAATTCCCTGGCTTCTCTATAACAGTACTTGTTTGTGTCCTCCAGGGCTAGCTTGAAAGAGAGCTTACTCATTTTTTATCGTTGCTAATAGTCTTAAGTAAAGCAGGGCACCCAAGTACAACTTGTTACAAATAGAGAGTGCAGTTAACATTTAGAAGAATACAGCTTGTCTTCTAGAAAGTAGTATTTGATGAGAATTTCACAGCATGTGAGTGGCAGATAAACAACTAAAAATGATCCTCTTGTTCCTCTATTGTAATATGTGTAGCTCTCAAAATTCTTGAATGTACAAACAGGAAAGTAAGTTATGCTCAGATAGCAGTTATGGAACCACTTTTTTCTTTATTTCTCGGTATTTCCAGTTCTGGTGTATAGTCCTAAAAGGGATAACAGGAAGCTTTCAGACAGCTGGTGCAATGGTAGTTCAGTATTTGGGAAATGTAATACTGGAAGGCTTAAAAAACATGAGTTTCGTTCATCCCATAGAAGATAAAGGAAGTCTGTAGTATCTGCAACTGAGTATATGGTGCAGAGAGGTTTCTTAAATTTGGCAGACAAAGGTACAACTGCTGCATCTTTGATCCATGGGATTTTAAAAACCAGAAATGAGATGCACTGCTGTCTGACAGACTTGGGAGGGACTGGATCAGGATGTTGGTTTTATCAGTTAGAATTTTAAATCTGTCATGCATTTTTTTTCCTA